AAGGACTTAGAGAAAGTTGACATCATCATATAAATCCATAAATATATGCCCTACTTGAAGTTGTAATGTTTGAAAAGTTATGATAGTATCATTTGAATATAGTTGCATGGCAGCTATAGTCCAGCCCATGACTCCTTGATGGGAAAAAGACATTCAGCACATTATTTATCATCAAATGGGTGGCTTACTTGATCCTCCTATTTCATTTTTGCTCCCTCCCATTGTTTAGTGAGGAGACCATGACAAAAGCTGTGTGTCAAAAACTAATTCATCTGGAGCAGAAATATCAAGGATGCTGTTATTATTTTGATTCTCTTCACAAAAGTTGAACTTTTTTGGAGAAAGCTCTATTTCTCTTCCATTCTGTTCTCTAATATCATGGATGAAAATAGGACACACAATAGAGCAAAGGTATACAACTATTGTTCTAGATCAGTGGTGGCGAACCTATGGCACGGATGCCAGAGGCGGCACTCAGAGCCCTCTCTGTGGGCATGCGTGCCATCGCCCCAGTCTTAGGCCTTCAGCTGGGTTTTATAAAACCTTTTCGCTTTAGGCCTCTGCCGCCTGTGCAAAAAAAAAAAAGGTTCAATCAATCAATTTCAACTTCTTGCGGGAAAAAAAAGACCTTGCAAAGTTGGAATTGATTGATTGAACTTTTTAGTCCCACCCAGTCTGCCATTACCATCACAGCTATGCCCACCCAATGGGCCACACCACCTAATTGGCCACACCCAGCCAATGGGCCACACCCAGCCGGCACCCGACAATGCAAAAGTGGGCTTTGGGTTGCAGTTTGGGCACTCGGTCTCTAAAAAGTTCGCCATCACTGTTCTAGATACTCTTTTGGATTGAGAAAGTCAAAAGTTGATATAATAAATAGCTCAAAGTTCTAATCCAAAAAAGTCATAGAAGATTCTCAGAGTAATAGCTGTATCCTTTACAAAAGAATGTTTCAACAAAGTAACAGAAAACCTCTTGCTCTTCTTATCATCTATCAACATTTCCCTCCTTAGTGTTATATTATACATAATTCCCAAAATTCTCTCCAAAAGTTGTCATTTTTAAAAAGGGGAAATGGACTATATTGTGAGTAATCAATAATTCTAGTAAACTTAATTTAAATCAAATTACTTTTTGTTTTGTTTTGGTAGCACCCACATCTTTGACTTCACATTTTTAGAATACTACTCAAACAATAAATATATATTTGATTTAGAAGACAGATTTTAATCATGCTAGTTCCAATTATTCATTTTATTCTCTAGGGTTGTTTGGTGTTTGGGGATTAAGATATTAAGAGCATGCTTTTTTTCTTTCTTTTCTTTTTTTGCTAATGTCACGTATGGAAGCAAATTGAGAGGAAAAAATCAATTAGTTCTACTTAGCTGCTACTGAAAAAGGCATAATAATGCTATAACTTAAAAGTAATTTACACAGAAGCGAGTAACTATAGATATATCTTCACAAAAAATAAGACCAGTTCAAACCTAGGTAAGGAAAAAAATGGATATCTGTTTGTTAGAGATTATATTACCACAGTATAGAACTAGATTTATGTTTATACATTCCTGTATATATGCATATGCATATACATATTTAAAATGTTGTAAAAATATTTTATAATATAGAGCTCTTTTATATATTTTTTTAAACATTCACAGAAGAAATCAAGAATTACAGGCTTCTTAATCACTCAAGAGATATTTATTTTTCTGGATTCCCCCCCCCCCCATTTCTAAGGGGTACAAAAGAGGTGAATCTCATTATAAGATCATCATTTTTAAAGCATTAATTTCATTAATGGTGTAGGAATAGAAAAAGTTTTATACAGTGATGAAATAAGTGCTTTGTTTTATTTTACATCAGGGTTTCAGGTTTTATGTTTTCATCATTTTGTTTCAATGGAGATTATATTCTTTCAGTTGTATTTGGCTGTATATTACTAACTCTCAGAATGTAGTGAGTGAGAAAATATATTACAAAACTACATTGTTTTTTAACAAGATCATGTGAACTATCAAAGCCCTGCATCTGCAAGATTTAGGCATATATCCAATAAAACAAATAGACAGTAAATTTCATGGACAGAAGACCATTGCCATATTGTATTACTCATAAAAGTTTCTCACTGCATTAATACAAGAGCATGTAAAACATTTTTGTCTAAAACATTTTCCCCCTTAGACATAGTATGCTTTTACTACCTTTATATACATGACTAAGGAAACAGCTTCTTGAAAAGGGTGCCAATACAGATGCTACTACATAGAGCATCTATATATTCATATTGATTTTAATAAATGCCTCTCCCAGTATCATGTTAATATTGCCAGTGTCCCACTCAGATGTGCTGTTATAGCTTTTTGCTTGAGATCAACATATCACTGTTCAACAGATCATTTTGTAAATGATCTCTTGAACAGTGTCTCTGTCCTGGTGGGGTTGGTCAAATGGAGGACATTATTTATTTGACTGGTAGCCTATCTTGGCAGCTATATAAATGTTTCAAGTAAATAAAAATAATTATTTTAAATAAATAAAAATAAATAAAAAATGAGACCATTGACAAATTATTCATGGTTGGTGAATTCAAGGCCTCAGACCTGAAGTGATTATTTTCTTGCAGATATGTTTCCTATTGTCAGTAATCAGATTGCTATTTTTATTTTTGTCATTATTTAAAATTAAAAATAAAGGTTATGTTGTTTATTGTGGTCTATTTATCTATCTATCTATCTATCTATCTATCTATCTATCTATCTATCTATCATCTATTATCCTCATCCTCTTCCTCCTTATCATATTTTTTTGTTTCTAACACTTTTATTGCTTTATTGTATTGCTATTTTGCTTTTAGATGTTGAGACTCTAGAAATAATACAGAGAAGAGCAACAAAGATGATTAGGGGACTGGAGGCTAAAACATATAAGGAACGGTTGCTGGAATTGGGTATGTCTAGTGTAATGAAGAGAAGGATGAGGGGGGACATGATAGCAGTGTTCCAATATCTCAGGGGCTGCCACAAGAAAGAGGGAGTCAAGCTATTTTCCAAAGCACCTGAAGGCAGGACAAGAAGCAACAGATAGAAACTAATCAAGGAGAGAAGCAACCTAGAACTAAGGAGAAACTTCCTGATAGTTAGAACAATTAACCAGTGGAACAATCTGCCTCCAGAAGTGGTGAATGCTCCAAGACTGGAAGTTTTTAAGAAGAGACTGGATAGCCATTTATCTGAAATGGTATAGGGTTTCCTGCCTGAGCAGGGGGTTGGGCTAGATGACCTCCAAGGTCCCTTCCAACTTTATTATTATTATTATTATTATTATTATTATTATTATTATTATTATTATTATTATTATTATTATTATTATTATTATTATTATTATTATTATTATATTTTGTCATGCTAAATTGTTCTGATCTATGGTAAAACATTTTAATAAGTAAATTATTTGTTTGTTTACTTATTTACCTTTTTATGCCACCCATATCCCCTATAAGGCAACTCTTAAAGTTTATTTTAATGTACCAAATTATACTGTGGAAAAGATTTATAACTAGATTTTCTTTTTTTCATTCAAACATCCTGAAAGTCACCTGGAGAATGCTGAAGTTAATTAATTCATTAAATAATGTTAAGGGTATGTTTTATACCATCACCCTTCAATGAGGAAGAGAATGATCAGAAATGAAAGTCTTGGAACTTTCTTGGCTCAGTAGTATATTTTATCAAACTTTTTTTTTCAAAATCAAAACAGTATCTATAAAATTGCAATATACTGCTAGGAAGATACACTACAATACAAATTAAAATACATCCCATATAAGTATTAAACCAGCAAGAAAAGGGAAAAAATCCTCTTAATTAAGAGGATTAAGCAAGAAGAGGAAATTAAGCAAGAAGAGGGGAAAAAATCAAATTTTGTATTGCTGACATTGCTTTCAGCGCAAATGAAAATTATTTGGCTAGAGTGTCCAAAATTGTTCTAAATATTTTGGATAATGTGTCCAGAATCAAGATGAACTTAACTCAAGAATGATTATATTTTAAAAATATTTTATGTATTTATTATTTCACATAATTTTAAAAGTGTTTAGTAAGCATTTCAGTATATTCTTTGCACAAATGCCTAAAAATATCACTGCATAAATTGTAATACCCTATACAAAATAAATATATTCCTGATATTTAAATATAAATAAATGTAATCCTTCATATTTCTAAGTAATGACTGAGAATATGTTGCACATTTGCTTATTGGTTGGGATTAAGAGAGAATCAGAGATGGCAAAAGAGAATTCCTTTCGATTTATCATGGAATCTTTAATATGGTTTAAAAAGAATCTTGAAAATCACCAGTTTTTTGTTTGTTTGTTTGGTAGTGTTTATATGGAGTTGTTTCTGACTGCTAAGTCTGGGGTGCAAGAAAAAAGGGGGAGTACCATTTTACTGAATATCCTAAACTGATATTTTACTTTTAAAATAACACTTAAATATTTACACTTTTCCCTAATCCTTTTATGTTGAATCAAAACTTGTATTTGTTTTTATAATTCTTCATGTAGCAAAAGCTGAGCTGCATCAATCTAATATTTTTGTGGTGGACTTTTAATACCTTCCAGTTTTCTCTTTCACAATTTTACAGATGAAGTCTCTATAGTAATTCTAAAAATCTTAATTCATTGTACATGCCATATTAATGCTAGACTGCAAAATTATTTTGAGATTATAGCAATACATTACAAACATGAGAAATTTAAATGATAAAATACTCTTTAGGTAAATAAAATAATTAATTATAGTGAGAATGTTACATAACAAAAAATGGATGATGGGAGATTAAAAAGAGATTGAAGTATTCTTACAAAAATAAGTTTGTTGGCCAGATAGTGTGTGAAAATATATTGCAAATTCATTATATATTTTTTAAAAAAATATTTTGAATGCTTATCTCTTTCCTTTTAGTATATAATCCTATAAAATCATCTGGAAGAAATGAAGTGGAAAAATGAAACATTTCAAATGGCGTTCATCCTTCTTGGGTTTTCCAGCATGCCAAATATTGAATTGCTTCTATTTCCAATAGTCCTGGTGATGTACTTTGTTACAATGACTGGAAACATCTTCATCATATTTATAGTTATGAAAGACCCAGCCCTTCAGTCACCTATGTACTTCTTCCTAAGAAACTTATCTTTCATTGAGATATGCTTTACTTTAGATACAATCCCCAAAATGCTAGTTAACCTATTGTTGAGAGATAAAAGTATCTCCTACACAGGTTGTGCCATTCAAATGTTTTGCTTCTTCTACTTTGGATGTGCTGAGTGTTTCCTCTTAGCTGCCATGTCTTATGACCGTTATGTTGCCATCTGCAACCCACTGAACTATGCCAATATCATGAGCAGGAACTTATGTCAGAAGTTGGTTGGTGGAGTTTGGCTGATTGGTATTCCTGTCTCATTGTTGCAGGCAGTCTGGATCTTCAGCCTTCCATTCTGTGGCATGAAAAAAATTAATCACTTCTTCTGTGATGCCCCTCCTGTACTGAAGTTAGTCTGTGCTGATACTTCTCTTTTTGAAATGCAAGCCATAGTCTCTACACTTGTATTCCTTATGTTTCCTTTTGTACTGATTTTGATTTCCTACACCCGTATCATCATCACCATCATCACAATACCTTCCGCAGTAGGCAGGCAAAAAGCCTTCTCTACATGTTCATCTCATCTAATTGTGGTGATATTATTCTATGGAAGTGGGAGCATTGTTTATCTAAGGCCCAATTCCACCTATTCACCAGAAGTTAAAAAAATGTTATCTCTGTTCTATGCAGTCCTTACTCCCATGCTAAATCCCATTGTCTATACTCTGAGGAACCATGAAGTGAAAGGAGCACTGAGGAGAATTCTAAGATATAAAAGTTTCGCATAGGCTATATCACTTATGCAGAGACCTTTCATAAATAGCTTGGAACCTAGTCTACTTCATTCTGCTCTGAAAAGATTACTTATAAATCTATGTGGAAGTGGTATACTTTTTTTCTCAACATACTTAGCCATGGTTGTATTTTCCCATCCTTTTGGTGTACATAAAAGCAAATGTTCGACAGTTATATATTTAGAATGCTAGAGTGCTATCAAATGCTTGGAAGAGACCATCTTCTCACTGACTTCTAAGGCCTAGAAGGAAGCAGGATAAATCAAATGAAGTATACTGATAGATACAAATTTTGATAGCATTCTTAAAATTCCAAGGAATGCTTCACGACAAATTGTAAAACGTAAAATTGTAAGCCATAAAAATGTAATTCTTATGGTTCAAATGTGTATATTTTAATATAATTTGAAAAAAAGTGTCTTTTTTCTTTATATGCATTATTGCATACTGTTTCTATCAAAGATACTAAGTAAGTAAGCAAATAAACAAATAAACAGTATATGTGGGGTTTTTGTGGGCCTTCTCCTTAAGTATCAGTTTCCTAGAAGAAAGCACTAGTGACTTTAATGAGATTTAATGAGATTTAATGGTTTCTAAATAAAAAGGAATCACTGGTCAGCTATAAAAATGCTTTATAACCTCTACTGGAACCTGCATCTGTATATTAGGATGATCTTTAGATAGACTAAATTAAATACTTTTGGCAGCTGACATTCGTTATTACAATCTGGCAGCAAATCGGCAGAATCTGTGGTATGTGCATGTCAAAAACTGCAAGAGGGCATGTGCAACATCTTTAAAAAGTTCCCTTGCTTCTGTAAGTGCAATGATGTCATACAAATGAACAAAATGGACCTTGTCATCTTGGAGACTTTCTCCCACCCCCTTTCTTTAGGCCCCCATGTAGCAAGTGTGATCTTTTTAATGAAATAGTAGGATATTCTGTCTAGACCTTAATGGACAGATCATTATGGATCTGGAATTAATATGCTAATTTCAAATATGATTCATTTTCATTATTATAATACTTATTTTGAAAGAATCATATTGGTGACAACTAAAAATATGGGCATTGATTAATGCAGTTTAATCATAGCAAAATTGATAAATAAAAATCATTTTAATTGTTAATTCTACAGTATTGTGAACTGAAAGATTAATTGCTTTTGATCATTGTAAAATGATTATGAATTATTCCAGTGGTGAATAAAATATAAAATAAAATATATATAAAAAGAAATATTAAAAAGATGATTGAAGGTAATCAGAATACAACATGCTAATGTTAAACCACTTCTGAAGATAAATAATCATGTAAATGGAGATGCTGAAGGTGAGATATTGATCTTGTCCCCCCATTATGCAGAATGTAGCAACAGTGTCTGTTAACATTTGTTTCAATGCTTAATTATTTTATAGACACAAGTGCCACATCATAAAAGTGTTATATAATATGATGACACAGATACTTGCTTATCACTTTGCTAACCCCCCCCCCCAAAAAAAAGCAACATTGCAAAAAGAGAAATCAGTGAAGGAGCCAAACTTTTTCCTTCAACCTTCTTCAGAGGGGGTAATGCTACAATTATATAGGTTATATTCACTTAAGAGGAATGCTATTCTTATTACACAACAGAACATTTATACCCAAGATGATATAGGATTTATTTTTTTTTGCATTTTCCTAGTAATTGGTATGAGATACATTCTTACACTGAAGTATAAATTGTTTATTTACAATACTGGAATCAGCTAAATTAAAAGCTGAAAAGAGGTAGGATGCAAACTCACAAGATAGTTTCATGCAAATCTGAATATACATCTGACTGGCTAAAGGAAGAAAGTATTTGATTTCATTTAGTAATACATTAGAAAAGTCAATGAGAATAGCATGAGGAAATATAGACACCATAGTTTATTGGATTAGACAAAGAATGTGTTGTTTAAATATGAGTTACTGCTATGTTAATTTGCTAAGAGTTATATCTCAACAAACTTGTTGCCCAGCACTGCTGTTATCTCCTAGTGTTTTAAGCCTTTATACCTGAAGCCTTTATGCTTCTATGGTTGTATTGACAATTTATTTTTCTTGATAAGGTGCATTTATTACAAAGGTAATTGGTTAATTTAATAGCATATGACTATCTTAACACCACTTTGACTATCTCCTTTTTTATATAAAACATTAGATAATTTACTACAACATCAGAGAAACAGGAACGATTCACAGAATTACTATACTGTACATTACTATAATTACTATAATTATCCACTAAAAAAATAAAAGCACCATTAACAAGTATCCTCAATCTTTTAGAGTTAGAAATGTCATTTATACAAAGCAAAGCAATAATGACAATCATGAAGAAAGATAGTTTGAGCATTGCATTCAAAAATTCCTCAAGAAATTTTTTTTTGCAACTGAGATGTCAAGGCAGGCTTATCCCTGACAGAGGCCTTGTTTACTGACAAATTAAGGGTATTTAAACAAGTACTTGTTATTTTGTACCCCAGTGAGAGAGAGTGGGGGAGAGGGAGAGGGAGAGAGAGAAAATCCCCTCTTCTCTGGTACTTTTATTTTTTTGGCTTGACTTTTCTAAGAGAAGGGAAATGGATGTTTCTTTTGGAGCAGCCTTTCGTATTTGTAATAGTTGGTTTCTGGGGTTAGGTTTTCTACATCTTTTCCTATTGTTCCTGCCTGTTTAATATTTCCCAAATATATTTCTTTTTCATGGGTATGGAGATACTAACTTCTAATTATTGATTGAATCAATAATGCATCACTGCCATGGAGCAAGTTTCAAATTGACTCCAGAGTTCAGAGATCTTAAACCAGGGTGGGGAACCTTGGCTCTTTTATGACTTGTGGACTTCAACTCTCAGAATTCGTGAGCCAGCATGGTTCAGCTTGGAAACCTCTTCCTTTCCCCTCAGCATGGCTGGCTCAGGAATTCTGGGAGTTGAAGTCCACAAGTCATAAAAGAGCCAAGGTTCCCTGCCCCGTCTTAAATGGCTGCTTTGTGGGAATTGAATCCCATGAGGGGAGCTGAGCAAGGAATTTACTTTGGAAATGGGCATTTGTAAGTCTAACCAAACAGGCCACAGCTGACAGCTACTCTTTGCTACCCCCCCCCAAAAAAAAAGCAAATTGCAAAAAGAAAAAACAGTGAAGGAGCCAAACTTTTTCCTTCAACCTCCTCTGGAGGAAAGAGGAATGCGGCATCCGCCAGGCGTTTTTTGTCCAAATTGGCACCCAAAGCAAAGGGAAAAAACTACTGCAGAGTTTTGAAAAACTGCCAGGGTTGCTGTGTTCCTTCCCAAAACAAAGTGCCCTATGCAGCCTAGCCTCATCCCGCACAGCTGCCGCAACACCCCGCCACTTACTTGTCCAAAATGAAATACAGGTCAAAGCCCCCGTAGCAGGCTGCAGCCTCCTCCTCTTGCTGCCCCCCTCACCCATCACAGGGGACCATCAGGGCATTCAGAAAGGAGGGGAAAATGTTGTCTGGAGTTGGGTTGTTTTTGGGGGTGTGGTGGTTTCAGATTTCCCTTCTGCTCTGCTTTCCCTTCGGTCCATTTTCAGAGCACCTCTGCCTTGCGCTTCCAGCACAGCTGAGCTCGCCACTGTCGGCCAGGCCATTGGCAACTTCCAGTTCCCGTTGCTTTGCTTTGCCCCAGATTTGGGGAACATGGAAGCCTCATCCCCCCCTTCTCCATGAAGGAAAGAACTGAAATCTGGTGCTGATTCTGGCACTTCTACTGAGCCCTGAAGAAGCACCAATCAGAAGAAGTGCCGATCAGCTGGAACCTGGCACTGATCCTGGTGCTTCTTCTGTGCCCTGACAGCCCTGCAGTTCCAGCCATCTCTCGCTCAGACTTGTGCGATGCTACCGCCGATTCAACTCATTTCCCTCCCCTACTAGGATGGTCATGTACCACCTGCCAAGTGCCAATGTATCACAGGTGGTACGCGTACCACCCATTGAAAAGCCTTGCTCTATACAACCATCTTGCATGCTCTCCATGAGATCCCCAAAATCATGGGATTTTTTTTCACATTTTCATGTTTTTCCAAAGGCTAATGATGTTGAGACTAATCCACCTGGGGGAAATAAGTTTCCAGAGGGCTGGAGGCACAGCAGAACATCTGGGTCCCATAAAATGGAACTTTTTAGCAGATGAGGCCTGGAATATACACCTCCTGCTTCATCTGATACATGATTGGAAAAAGGGGATGCCTCAAATAACCTAGACACATGCCATGTAAAGATCAAAACAAGTACTTTAGATTGTACTCATAAATGGCCCTCCAAACAATTCATAAACAGAGGTTCCTAGGGGAACACATAATTCTCTGTGCAGCCATATTATTCAATAGCCATCAGATATTCTCCTAGGACAGCACATTGTAGTAATACATTCCAGAAGTGATAGCAGCATGAGTGACTGTGATCTAGAGCTCCATAGTCCAGAAAAGAATGCAACTGACACTTAACATTAAAATCTGCAAAGGCCTTCTAGCCGCTGCGACCTATTTCGCAAGCAAGAGTTGTGAGTTTAGAAGGATGCTCAAAGAGGGTACCAGAACCATCTGAGGTAGCACCAACCCATCTAGAGGCAGAACCCCCAAACACATTGAGTTTTCCAAGATTCAGCTAAAGTTCAAAATTAGAATAGAGTAGAATAGAATAGAATAGAATAGGAATTTGTCTCCAGTGCATAAGCTCTCAGTGTATGCACAAACAACAAATTAATATAAATATAACATTATATTATAATATATCATATTTACCTTACATGACATCATTACATTATTATTTATAAATTTATCATTATACTAGCTGTATCCGGCCACGCGTTGCTGTTGCTCAGTCTGGTAAAAGCGTGTGTTGCTTTTACATCCAACAGATGGTGCTGTTTTTCAAAAAAAGCATGTTTTTACCTGTCACAGGTGTGACATCTATATAATAGTAGATATATAAAAACACGTGCGTATTCGAATGCAATGTTGTGTCACAATTTCAAAGCAATCGGTGAAGAACTTTCGGAGATTTAAGATTTTGAACAAACGAACATTTACATTTTTATTTATATAGATTATTTTTTTACATCCAATTCTCCACAGCCTCCAGGCACTGGGAGAGAACATTAAAAGCATCACTTAATTTGTCAGGGCCAGAGATATACAAGCATTTTTATGATACCTCACCCTGTGGCAACAAATGATGTTAAATAGGAGTGAAAAGAGTACCAATCCCACATAATAGTATCCACAGATGAGACATCTCACTCCCAATCAACATTAACTGGTACCCGCACCATAGGAAGAAAGAGAGCCACCCCAATAAACAATCCAACATCCCCAATTCAATGTTATTTGTTTTACAATATCTAACCTCCTTTTTATTTGCAAAAATCATTATTGTATATACATTTTTCTTATTCCTAATATCTTTCAATCAGTAAATATCCCAAGCCCCCTTTTCATGCATATTAATAATACAAGGTCACATATGTCTGTGGCATTCTATGAAAACAGCTTCAACATTCACTTTCCTTGCACCTTTTTTTATTTATTTTGAAGAAAAAATAATTTATATTTCTTTTTTGAAGAATAAAGAAAAATGTTGACACAATTGCCCCTCCCCTGATGTCCAACATAGCCTCCTAGGATACTCTTTCCTAGCTCAGATTGCCCATGCCCATCCTGCAGGAATTAGTTGTTCTGGATGTACAGTGCCAAAGTAAAATAATTTAAAAATATGAGCTAACATAATATAATAATAACAACACATATTGTAAATGTTGAAATTGAGGCATACAAAACAGTTAATATATATATATGGTTGTTAATCTACTAATTAATCCAAACTATAACTCATCTAATATCCAAATTCTTAATATAACAGGATGCTTTTTAAATCAATACTAAATTAAAATCCATATTACTGTGCAACATTAAATTTTCAGGAGGACAAGAATGCCTGGCCAGCATACAGAAAGACTTAAAAAAAACATAATATACACATCATCATCATCATCATCATCATCATCATCATCATCATCATCATCATCATCATCATCATCATCATCATAGTTGTTGTTACCTTTAAAAGCTGTTAAAAACATACTATAAAAGACAAACATTAGGCAAACAGCAAATGTTAATAACCATATAACCACCTTAATATCTTACCAGTTCCCTGGACTCTTTAGGCCTCATGGCCTACCAGGTTTTGAAGACTAAAATATTAAGGTATTAAGGTGGAAAATTAAGAAGAACTAGTTTTCTTTATTTTGATCTTAATGAAATCCAGCTAGTTAAAGCTATAATATATGATTATTTTAATGGGTTCATGAAGGAGAAATTCAAATAACAATTGCTAGTTCAAAATGTGGAGCTATCCACCTGCACATTGAAAATATATATTGAACTGTATTTCTAGAAGCTTTCTAGAGGTAAGCCCCATTATTGCACCTCTTAAATACAAGGTAGAAACCTATTTTTCCAAAATCTACCAAACAGCTTCTTCAGGGCTTCTTTGACGTCCTTGTTTCTCAATGTATATATTAGGGGGTTGAGTAGTGAGGGAAACACTGTGTATAACAGAGAAAAGAATTTGGTATAATTTTTCATTTCTTCAGTTTCTGGCATCAGGTACACAGCTGTTATTGCCCCATAGAAAAAAGACACAACGATCAGATGAGAGGAACAGGTAGAAAAGGCCTTTTGTCTCCCAATTCTAGATGGTATTCTCAAAATGGTTCTTAGTATAAATATGTAAGACATAAAAGTCAAAATAAAAGGAGGAAACGTAAATGTATAAGCCAGGATTGCAATAGTATATTTTGCAAGTGTAGTATCACTGCAAGAAAGCTTTATTAATGGCAAGGATTCACAAAAGAAATGGTCAATTTCATTGGGGCCACAGAACCAAAGCTGTAACATGAAGATCAAATATACCGATGTAAATACCATGCCATTGATCCAAGACACAGCAGCTAGCTGGATGCAGCGTGTAATTCTCATTGCAGTAGCATAATGCAGAGGTTTACATATGGCTAAAAATCGATCATAAGCCATCACAGAGAGGAGATAGCATTCTGTGCTACCCAGGGAAGCAAAGAAATAGAACTGTGTAATACATCCTTTGAAAGAGATGTATTTTTCCCCTGTTAAAAAACTGTCCAACATCTTAGGCAAGATTGTAGAGCTGTACATCATTTCCAAACATGACAAATTGCCTAAGAAGAAGTACATGGGTGTATACAAACGGTGATCAACCAGAATTAGAAGAACAGTAAGGAAATTGGCCATCATAGTAAATATGTAAAGTATTAAAAATAACATGAACAGTAACATCTGCATACCATGAAGCTCCCCAAATCCCAGAAGGATGAAATGAGTGACGACAGTCATGTTACCTTGCATTGTATTTCACATTACATGTATACTTGTCCAGAAAGTCAGTTTATATATTTGTGGTAGAAAACATTTGTAGCATTTGAAATTCAGAAGAATCCATAATAATTGCATTCCGCAGGCAGTCAACAAGCTCAGTTCATGCTGTCTCCAAAAATGCTCTGTTTTACACTGTAGATGAAAAAAAAACAAGTTCCATTTAAAAAATTGCACAAATTAAGTATTGTATTACTAAAATATTTTTGAACATATAAAAATAGTAGATTAGAACTAACAGGAATCCATTTACTCTTTGGATCTGTATAAATTGCTTTAATAAACTGCTACTGATTCAATAAGGTTCCTAAATATCTGGATTGCTTTTTTTTTACAGAATAAAATATGATGATTTAAGACATGGCTTTAAAGAGGAGAGAAGGAATAGTTCAAATACTGTAGTTGTATAAAAATGGTTGTATAAAAACCAGGAAAATAAGTGATTTGTCTGAACAAAATTTCAGAAATCCCATATTCAATTTTCACTTATTTTTTTCCCCCTGAATGGTGCCTTTTGGGTTAAGAGACAGAAAAAAATTACATATTTTTCTACATCAAGTATGGCAGCTTTAGAAATCAAACTTTGATTCCCCAGAGGTGATTCTGATCACAGTGGTTAAAAATGCAGTTAGTATAGCTATAACTGCATGATCTTGGTAATTGCTTCAGTAATTTTTCTTCCACAAAGGTAGTTCTCCTAGTATCCAAGTCAATGGGATTTTTGCTATCATGCATAGGACACACACACATCACATATGTGCACACACAGAGATATTTTTGGGATCTGATGGAGTCATTCTCCCAGTTTAGGAATTGCAGCTCTGAATATTCTTATCACAACTGGGATCATTTTGACCTTACCTTCTACATTCTCTTTAGTTCCTTCTTTAATTTCTAATAGTTTTTCCAGCTTCTCACACTTCTTCATGACATTGCTGTAACTTGGCACAGCTACATCTATCACCATCACTAACCTCTAGCTTGACAACTACTACAATATCTAGTTGATTAGCCTGACTGTCTGGATCTGGAAGTTCACGGGGTCTTAGCTCTGTTATTCTCCATGACCTTCTGTGGAATCTTCCATCTGGACTTGGGAGAGTCTAGTCCATTCAATTCAATGTCATTCAATTTAAGCTCTTCCTTCCTGCATTTAAGATCCTGCCACTATGTGTTGGTCTCTCTGCACAATTTGTACCTTGTATCCTCTGTAGTGGAGTAGACTGCTGTTTATATGGATCTGGTGCTTAGTGCCTGTTGTGTTGGTATGGTCAACATCTATCAATGTCTGTCAAATCTATTAATTTATTTATTAAATATAAGTACATATTACATGTAAATAATATATATCGCACATCAGTCACTAACACATTGAATTAGGAAAAAAATATTGAAGAGATATATATTGAAAGTCTTTGTTTAGTCTTTGAAAGTTTTTCAGGCTAATATAACACTTTTATTAAATACCTATTTGAATACTAGCTAAGGCTCAATCATGCCAATATTAATTGCTCTTACATCAAAGAAAGCACAGATGGTCCTATTAGTGAATTTTCAAAAATATACAT